GGGGGAGGTGTAAGTTATTGGGAAAGAATTTACATTGGCCACAAATAAGGGGGATGGAATAAGGTGAAGTGAGGGAGCAGTTCTATGATAGGAATGTCTGTTAAGAAAGAAATATTTATTGTTTTTGACTGGTTATAGGCAATAGTTCTGAAAACTCATGCACATGCAAGATCCGGTGGCCCATCTAGTAGTAGGCTGGTAGCCTGCCTGGATGTTGATTCAAAGCTCCAACATACATTCAGGAATGTGAGCAGTCTGTCACCTGCCCCCCAGCTATTAACAGGCTAATTGTTCTGTCTCTTTCTACTACTCTCCAGCCTGGGGTAATTTAATTTAAAACATCTCGGGAATTTTTGTTCTTGTCAATATCAACACCCTTGTTTGTCCCAGTTACTCGGTAGCACCTCCCCAATCTAGCAGTTCCCAGTCTAAACCCCCACGACTAGGTAGTTTCACCTTCGGAAGGTGAAGAAATTGTTCGGAGGAAGGCAAAGGTACAAGGAAAATGGCTGGGTGCCGAGAGCCCATCCTGGCCGTTCGTTAGCTGTGCACCTTTCAGTGGGGTGCTTAACCTTTCTGAACTCATTTCCTCATCTCCCAAATGCAGATTGGTAGAAGGATTTAAATGAGCTAATGCATAGAAGGTTTAGTAAACTATAAAGCACCAGGGTTGCATGGGGAATCATTAGCCAGCGTTGACTAAGAAAATGCCTAGTAGTGAAAATAATATAAATTTGAATCCTGCTGACTGGTGTCTATTGACACTTAATTTTCTTATGCTTTAGGGTCCTATGGAGACCTCCCAGAGTTCTTCTGAGCAATTTGTTTTGGGGTTTTTTGCATTTTAAAATAAGGAACATCACCAGGAAAAATGGAAGTAATAATATTTTTACACGTAGACTGTCACTTTACAAGTATTATTTACAATCTTCCCAACAACCCAGCAAACTGAGTAGTATTATACCCATGTTATTAATGAAGATCTGCAGATTAAGTGTTTACCCAAAGCCACACAGAAAAAGGCTGAGCTGGAATTTGAAACTGGGTCTTTCCACCACCAGGAACGCATGGAATGACTGGCCTTCTAGACGCCTCCTGCACCTGAAATAAATGTACCTGCCCATCTTTTTCCTACCTGGCTATTTTGGTAACTTTCCTTGATGCAATTCCCTGTCCTCTCTGCTTCTCTCCAGGGTTTTACTTTCCCACATGAAGGCATTTGTCTCCTCTTTTTCCTCTCTCTGGCTCCTTGTCTCTTGAGATGCCAGGACCTTGTGCATCCTCTCTTATTTCTGAAATGGATTTATGATCTGTGATTAAGACACAGCATTCTGTACCCGATCTCTCAGATCTCTCCTCTCCATGTTAATCATAGTCATAGACAGTTAATAGGTCCAAGACAAGGATGGGGTGGGACCGAGAGATGCCTTTTTGTAAACTTAAATTTACAAGCTGAGTGCTCATTTCCTAAAGGCAGTGTGCTTAATCCATTGTTGAACCCAATAATTGAAGTCCGGATTCGCAACATTCCTGTGGAAATCAGTTTTTCTGGGTCCTCTCATCCATATTACAGTTAAAACATTGGAATGCTGCTAAATAATGCGCGTATCACTGAAGCATGGAGGTCTCAGAGGTGCATTTACCCACACTCCTCCTTTCTCCACCTTTAGCATTATCGCCATCACTATTTTTCATCTTTATTGTGCCCTTCCACAGAGGCACTCAATAATGTACCCATTGTGTAAGTAATCTGAAATCCTTTTCGGCAAGCAATAGTATTTAGTAGCAATAAAACACTAATTTGTCTACCAAGTGACATATTTATAGGAGCTATTTACTTTGACATATTTTTATTATTTCTACTCATTTGCTAAGTACTTTCCAATACATATTTATGAAGCATATGCCTTTCCCCAAACAGTGGTGAAATAATAAATCATATTATTTCTTTTATCAGCAGCAGCAGCATGGCATGTAAGTCCTAGTGCCCTGATTTTTGTTTGTTCTGGCAAGAGCCAGACCAATTAATGGTGACCAAACACCTACTATGTGCCTGTGAAAGGCACTTTACATCTGCTATCTGTTTAATTTCCCTGAGACATACATTTTACCAATAAGGAAAATGTAACTCCCTTGCAACATAGATTTTTACCTCTAAGACATTACCTTGTTTAAGTACCTTGGCCATAAAGGGCCCAGCAGGGTTTTGAAGCTAGATCTGGATTCGAAAATCCTGACTATAATAATTTCTGTACAATATAAAGTATTCCTTTCTGAGAGAGACTGCATAGGTTACCACAGAATGGAACAGTTAGAAGTAAACAGACACAGGATGTTAACCCCAGTTTTTCTATGAGAGGTTACTCTCTGGGGGAAGTTATTCCCTAAGAAATCAGTGGTAGGGTGTTTCCCAAAGTGAAAGACCAGTACAAGAGGTCTATTCATTCTTGGAGACAGGAAGGGCTACATAGGTTGCAGGGCACAGTGCAAAATGTTGGACCCTTGTTCAAAAAGTATTAAGAATTTCAGGATGTCAACGGCAGAGCTTTAAACTAATCACAGGACTCTGTGCGACTGCACTGGTCACACTACCATGAAGCTGGCCTTGCCTGGATGGAAGGTAGCTGTCATCAGTATTTCCCAGGCATCATAAGTCTTACAATGATATGAGACCAAGTGCCTATTATATGCTGGAAAAACATTCAGTGCTTTATCTAAGTTATATGACCCTAAAGCAATTCTGTGTAGCAAGTTTTATTTTTTCCATTTCACAGAGGATGAAACCAAGGCTTAAAGAGGCCCTGGCCAGGTAGCTCAGTTGGCTAGAGTGTTGTCCACATACAGCAAGGTTGCAGGTTCAATCCCCTGTCAGGGCATATACAAGACTCAACCAAGGAATGCACAAATAAGTTGAATAACAAATTGATATCTCTCTCCCCTCCTTCTTCTCTTTATTAAAACAACAACAACAATAACAAAACTAAGGCTTAAAGAGACTAAATGAGTCATCCAATGACATACAGCAAGTGACTGTCAGAGCTAAGACCAAGTTAGCTGAGATGTACAAAAATCTTGTTCCTTGACTTTGTAGCCTTTCGGTACAGGCCCATTGTCTTCTGGCAAAACCTAAGCTTAAATTGAGGCTATTATACCCAGAAACTACAGAGAATCAGGGGAAAAGAGGTTGGGATATGTAGTCTATACTGCTATCAGGGCAAAATATGAAAAAGACTTTTACTGAAACATTTATATATTTAAAGCCAAAGGAAGCATGGGGATAGAAAAAAGTAGGGTATAGAATCAGACCAATTCGGGTTTGGATTTTGGTGCTTCCACTAAGTAGCTTTGTCCTTGACCTCACTGAGCTCCCATTTACTGTCTGTGAAATGGAATGGTTTCCCATGCCACAAGGCTGTCCTAAGATCTACATGAGATGTGTACAAAGAGCCAAGGCACATGAGAGCCTCAATAAACATGCCTTCTGGACTGTGATAGACACTGCCCACTCAATGTCCAATTCATCCATGTCCTGAGAGAGAGAGCTAGAAACATCGATGAGGGAGTCATTGATCAGCTGCCTCCTGCATGCCCCTGACTGGGGATCAAGCCCACAACCCGGGCATGTGCCCTGACCGGGAATCAAACCCCAATCGCCTGGATCCTAGGTTGATGCTCAACCGCTGAGCCACGCCCGGCCGGGCTTTCCTGATTCTTTAAAGGACACACACAAGGTGTTCACTTTCCTGTCTGTAGATACTGTCTTATCTAGATTGATGTTCAGAGTGATTTTAGCCAGACTTTGATTAGAACATGAGCTTAAGACAAAGCCAACATAAAAGGAGAGCAGAGCAGAAACATGGAAAGGTCTTACTACACTCCTTGACAATGAGCCGCTGAATGAGCCAACGTTGGACTTCCATGTTCCTAGAAATAATAAATGTCCTTATTGTTTAAGCCTCTTTAAGCCAGGTTTTATTACTTGCCGCAGAGAGCAGCTTCGATGATACATGGACCTTTTGCCTGAGAGTCTTTGGGAATTCAAGTGCCTGACTTAAAAGTCATCAAGTGCTAGCACATAGTAGGGACACATCGTTAATGAATTTTGTCTAACATCAAGCCAAGGACATACAACAGTCCTTTGTAGAAAGTATGTAAAAAGGCACTCTGAGAACTCAATGACTATCTAGGTCAGGAGAAAAAACATTCCTGAATTCCTCCTTTGTCATCTTTAAAATGCATTAAAGCCCACCCATTCATATATTTAATGATTCCCGAGCTCCCAAAATGTGTAAAGAACAAAAGAAAATTTGACATGGGAGCCCTTAAAGTGGATCTTGGGCTCATGGGCAGACAAGGGAACAGAAAGTATGAGTGATCGGTACAGAGGGGTTATGAGAAACATGTATCTGGACCACCATTGAGGCATAAGAAAGGGAGGGATGTCTGGGTGGGTGCACTGGGCACAGTGGGGAGTGGGGGTGGGCAGAGGCAGCATAGCAGGAGGAGGTAAAAGGCACTTGGGTAGAAGAGCCATCCCGGCCTGAGGCAGGCTGGGGAACTGTCCGGTGTGGTGTGCCCGGGACAGTGTGTGCAGTGGCAGCACACAGGGCAATAAAGCCCTGGTCTAAGAGCAAGGCCCAAGGAGGATGCAAATGTGAGGGGCCAGGTCCTGGAGGAATGGCCCTGAGTGGTCTGGCATAGCAGTGACTGGGACACCTTCCCATGGCCAGAGAGGCCACCTCGGTGGGGGCCGTGGCATCTTCAGCTGGAGTAAGTGCCCCAGTGGGAATAGAACTGTGCGGACTGGAAATTAAAGGCAATCAATGTGGGGACAGAATGAGTCCTGGCCTAGAAACCAGGAGTTCTGGGTTCTAGCCCTGTTCTACCACTGGGACTGTCACTACTCCTCTTTGGACCTCAGTTTCCTTCTGTTAAATGACAGGATGGGCCAGATGATCTTTACAGGCCTCTCAAACTACACTATTCTAGGGCCCTTAGTCAGGGACTAAGTACCTGAAAACATGGCAGATCTCCCCAGGGCACAGATGGCAACTAGGCTCCATGCTAAATGCCAAGTCCAATTGACTGGCTGTGGTTACCTGGAGTGCTGTGTGGAGAAACGCTGCAAAAGGCTCCAAGCTCTGCAAAAAAGAATGCTTGATTGATTGGTGATGTCTGCGTGGGCTCAGGATGCCCAAATGGTAAGAGTGGTAGGGATTTGCCATTTCTAGCTTAAAGCACTGTTTCCTACCATGGTTGCAGAAATGAGCCAACTGCTCACCCTATAAGGATACTGAAGATTAATTCCTCCTGGGGTATTCTGTGAGAGCAGCAGCACCAGGGTTCCCACAGTTAGGCTCACCAACCCTGTCCTCACCCAGGTAGATACCCTCGGGCCAGCGTGCATTCCCAACGCTCCATGCTTCTTATTTCTATCCCTGCTGCGTTTATCATTTCTAAATGTCATATCATCCGTCTTGAATTCTGACACCCCTTTTCCTGCAGCCAAGATACAACTAATTAATTACACAACAGGCTCTCTAACCGAGAAAGGCAACCTTCCTTTAAAAAATGTGTTCAGTAAACAACCTGATCATTTCTCTACTTTGCCTTTTATTTTCCCTTCCCTGGTGTCCTCCTCTCCTCCCAGTCAGGGTGACAGATCTCAGATGGATGGCTACAGTGCAGGTAACAGACAGGGGTTTAATTCAAACACTAGGGCACTAAGCTGTGGTACAGCTGGCAGGAAGAGAAGGGTAATTATATTGCATCTCAGAGCCACCGGCAATGAATTTCTGCATGAAGACTAGATTTGCCATGTATTATTTATGCCAGCATCAATTTTCCCAGCTGGCTCTATTTACTGAGCTAATTCTCCTCTATTTATGAGCAAGGCCATGGTTCAGCACCTCTGGTTACTCTATCCTGTGAAGGGGCCCCACAGGTCACCATACGTATTAAACAAGTGCCTAGATTCACTAGGAGCAGGTCACAATCTCCCTTCATTAGATTATATTCCTGGGACTGCAGCGAGCACCCTGTCTCACCTAGGCCTGGTGATGCGCGCAGGTGTGTGAAGTCAGCAAGAGCAAAAGAGGAATAATTGTTCTTTGGAGCCTCACTGGGGGAAACTGAAAAACAACCTTCAGGGGGGAAATTAGGTGGATCTGAGGCTCAGGGAAGTTCCTTTTTATATTTTTAAGAGCAGAACATAGATAAAGAAGAATTTTGCATTTACAAGGTTACTTCAACTCAGTAACTCAAAAACAGCTAAAGGGAAGAGCCTCATTTTACAGATGGACAAAGAGATGCAAAAAAACAAAGAGAAGCAAAGGCAGGTTTCATGGTCCGGTCACTGTGTTAGGATGGAGCGCAGGGTCGACGGTGATGCACAAGGTTACCCAGTCACTAGTGTGCCTCTTGAGATGCCCCAAGCCAGGGGGAACTTGACTCCCACTAGAAACATACATGGTAGAGACAATGGAAGAAAACTTGGCTCCAGCATGAATTTCTGGGTCCTTCCACTAGAGCATCCTCTCTTGCCAGTTACTCTGTGTTTCCACAGAGAGAGAGAAGCTGAGGATACAGATCTCTTCTGCCCAGCCCAAGAGCGTCTCCTGCAGTGCCAAGTGCTGGCTAGCAGTGAACAGCAGGCATTCCTGCACAGGAGAGTTGGGGGCCTTGGCACCTCTTCCCTTCCCAATCAACAGCACAGTCATGTCTGATCTCCCTGTAGCACTGGGCTCTGCTCCAGAGTCCCCCAGGTCCCAATGTCGACTGCCTCCTGGAAACCTGTTGGCTGGACGAAAACAGGAGGGAAGGGTTAGTTTTTGAGTTAAGCAACCCAAGTGGGTAGCCTCTTTAGTTGCAAGGTCTCAGCATCCAAGAATTCCTCTATAAGACCTCTATGGGTATAGACACTACCCTCAAGGGCCCACATTCTTTTTTTTAGTTTTATTATTATTAGTTTCATTTTTATTTATTATTAGTAGTATTAGTTTTATTTTCCCCTAGGACCAGCTCACCAGACGGGGAGATTTGGTGAGACATGCTGTGCGCTGACTGCCTGGTGTTCCTGCTCCTTCACAGATGGCCAGGACAATCCGGGTGCTGGGCACAAAGCTCCAGGAGCGGCCCAGGGCAGGTTTGAGCTTCCCGCTGTCCCTGTCTCGGGTCATGTGGTTGGTCACCTGCAGAAGAAAGAATCAAAGACTTACAGATCCATAATGCAAGTAGAGAGGACATCTGTTCCTACCCCTTCATTTTACAGATAGGAACGCTGAGGCCTAGCGTGGAATAACGCCTTCCCCAAGGCTCCATAACTTATCCACAGCAGGTCCTGAACTAGAACCCTGGGCTCCTGACTTATGCACAGGTCTTTCCACTAAACCACGATGCCTCAGGCTTGACTCCAACAAAGGTGATGGGGAACATGTCTGGGAATAAGCAGTGCTGTCTGCACTTTGCCGAAGGAAGGCCAGTGGTGGGTTTGAGCCTACTACCCACCCCATCCCACCCAAACCCAGCAGACGGGCATCCTGAGACCATGTCCATCCAGCCCTTTGTGGCAGGGGGTGCATCTGTGTATATGGGGTGGGGAGGAGTTTTGGAAGGGGGCTCCTAATCTATTGAGTTCTCCTCTGCCCAGGCTAATCACAGGTAAGAGAACCAAGCCTCACAGCATCCTCTTGATGAGGTTCTCCCCTCTCTCCATCCCCCCAGGGCAAGGGCTGTGACTTGTTCATCATTGAATCCCTACTGCCTAAGCCAGAGCCTGGCACCCAGCAGGTGATCCCATATATCCTAAAGTCAGCAGAGGGAGGTCCTGGAACCTGGTATAAGAACCAAAGAACAGGAAAACAGATCCTCTTACACTGCTGGTGTCTGTGAAATTAATAATCCTTCCTGGAAATCTGACAATGTCATATCTAGATATTTAAAAATATGTGCATCCCTCACTCAGTAATTATACTTTTAGGAGTTTGAGAAAATAATGTGAGATGTGCAAAAATATTTAGGTATAAGGGTGTTCACTATAGTTTTGTTTAAAATAGGGGAAAACAAAACAAAAATAAAGAAAAACCACTAATGATCTAAAGGCCCCAGATCAAAAAAAGATTGTTATGGTACAACAGCAGTCAGCAAACTATTGTCCACAAGCCAAATCTGGCCCAAAAATTGTTTTAGAAAATCAAGTTTTCTTGGAATATAGCCCTGCCCATTCATTTAGGTATTCTCTATGCCTGTTCTCATGCTATACAGGCAGAGTTGAGTAGTTGTGACATAGACCATATGGTTGTAAAGCCTCAAATATTTACTATCTGACCCTTTATAGAAAAAGTTTGCCAACCTCTGTAACATAGGTATTAAACAAGATAATATGTAAGTGCTAAAAGTGGCACTTAAAAAATTTTTATTGATTAATTTTAGAGAGAGAGAGAGGAAGAAAGAGAGACAGAAACATCGATTTGTTGTTCCAGTCATTAATGCGTTCACTGGTTGACTTTTGTATGGGTTAAAAGTAAATGTATATATGCAGAGAAAGAAGATTCTATGGACATATGTAAAAATATGGTTTATGTAGATGTGGAGATTTATTACAAATTTGACTCATATTTAACTATTTTTTTACCCTTTCTATGAGAAGTGTGCAGACTTTTTATTGACTGATTTTACTCCATAAGCAGAAATTACTCCATAAGCAGAAAAAGTAATTTTAAAAGCAGAAAGATCCCTTTCTATGAAGCTCTGGAAAAGGCAGAATTGTTGGGACAGAAACCAGATCAGTGGTTTTCTGGGACTGGGAGACCTTTCTGGGGTGACAGAAATAGATGTTCTGCGTGTTGATTGCGGTGGGGTAACAAGACAGGATACAAGGATATCCATTAGTCAAACTTCAAACAAGAAGAAAGTTACTCTATGTGAATTTACCTAGCTTAAAGAAAGTAAAAAGAAAAACAGACTGCCCCTGATCCCTTGGCCATTTATGGACTGATCCCCTCATGGTTCGGTGCTCTAGATGACCCAGGGAAGTTGGGCTGTGACCCCAAGGGTCACTTTGGGGGTTCAGAGGCTGCCTTTTAAGGGCAATAAATTTCTAGCTACAACTACAAATCATGTCCATCTTCCCCCTTGTAAAGCCCAGGGAGCAGAGGTAAGACGACCATGCCGACCAAGCCCACTTCCTCACCACCACTGCCACGCCAAGGTCCCGGGCCAGGGTCTTCAGCTCTAAGGCCAGCTGCATCATCAGGGCCAAGCCTGGAGGAAGAGAAGAGGGGGGGAGGTAGGGCAGCAGGGACTGGGCTGGCTGGAAGCTGGACTCCAGAGCTGAGAGACTAGGGAACATCCCTGACCTTGGGCTCAGCCACACACATCACTCACCTTCTCTCTGCTGACCTCCCAGAAGTGGGGAGACCACAGCGGTGACCGAGTCCACAATGACCACCTTCACAGTCCCTGAAGAATCACTCACCTAAGGGGTTGGGGGGAAGCAGCTGCCATGAACCACTTGGCCTCTAAGGGGCTCCCATTACAGGACAAGCTTGATCCAGAAACTGGAAAGGACCTTCCCTGACAATTATGGAATTTCAGCAATGTCTCTTTTCCCCAACCCCATTTGCATGTATAACAGACTTTATTGAAGAGAGGGTTTAAAGCATAGGACATCCCAGATACCCTAAAATAATTAAATCTGAGAAATCCCCATTCAGAGTGTTGTGGCTTCCCAGTCAGGATTTTTCTTAGTGGCCATCTTTCTCCTTACGGCCAGTCCCCCAACAGCCTGTCAGGCCCCTCCTTCCCTTCTCCTGTTTACTTCCCAAATTCCTAACTTCCTTTGAGTTTAGCTTTCTCTTTACTTCAGTGTCTCCTTCTAGATCATGCCTCTGGGGCCTCATCTTCCATATCTAAAATGGTTCCAAATATAGACTATACAGATAGCCATCTGTTAAAACCATAATTTTTTGTCTCTATGATACTCCTGGTTTCCTGGACCTAAACTGCCTTTGATGCCTCCCTTCTCCCCTACTTCTTACATCCAAGTCACTTGCTGATTATGTTTCCTCAACTTTTTTTTCACTTCACATCAGCGAAGCCCTTGGATATTCAGCATTATCTGCTCTATCTTTGGCATGTCTTCCTTCATCTTCCACTAACTGACTCTTGGCCAGTCATCAGCTTATCTAAGAGAGGATGGCAGAAAAGAGAGAAGCTAAAACTGAAGTTGGCTTAGCCCTTCCTTCCTCTCTGGGAAAGCAGGTTGAAATCTCTGGTGAAAATGTGACAGCAAGCCTTTCCCTGCTTGCAACTATGTAGCTATCAGGGGAAGAAGATGTGGCAGACAGACCCTAAGGTGGCCCCATGATCCCTACCTTTAGGTTCCCATCCCCTTGGTCATGGGTGAGTCCTGTGACTTGCTTCTGACTAATAAAATGTCAAAGGTGTTGGAGTGTCACTCTCTTGATTAGGCTATGTTATATGGCGAAGGTAATGAGACATCACTTCTGTGATTATGTTATGTTATATAAGACAGCATGTTGTCACTGGGTGGACAGCTTCAGACCACACTGGAGCACCACCCAGTCACCTCCACTGCCACATGCTCAAGGGGCGGACTCACTGGGCACCAGAGCCCCACTGAAGTAAGTCCTGTTCTGTGGGATTAGCCCCTGGCAAGTAGCTGTTCAACTATATTATGTTCTAAAGTTTGTAAAAATGATATATAATCCTGGGTATGCCCATGGGAACATGTCATGCTTTGGGGTGAAAGAAAGCATTTAAGATGAATTAAACTATTCTAAGGTGTCTTCCAAATCTAATAGTCAATAAATCAGGGCACCAAATCCTGTCTAACCACCTAGCAGGTTTAGCAGGGAACCAACCCAAATGCCATTCCGAACCCCACTTGCTTGTTAACAGAACTCCGAATGTGGTCAGGTACTGGGTGGAGATCCTCAGGCGTCAGGGAAGATGGGCCCCACCCCTGGTCTAACAGATGCATATAACCCAGTTTTGGCCAATCGGATGTAAGGGGAAACAGGCAGTGTGCTGGCGGGTTTGGGAGAAAGATATTCTTCTCTGGTAAAGGGAAGAAGTACAAAAAAGAGGCATCTACCTTCACTGCCCTGGATACAGATGTATAAAAACATGAGGCTCAGATCAATAGCAGCCACTCTGCAGTCATGAGGGGAAAGCAAGAGAATCAGACACACCAACCGAGAGCCCTAATAATGTGGCCCTGCCAACCTCCAGACTCATGTGAGATAATTAAATGTCCTCAAAGTTTAAGTGTCTGTCAGTCATACTCTATTACTTGCAGCTCAAAACTGGTCCAGTAGGGAATGCAGAGATGAATGACTTGATCCTTGCACTCAAGGGGCTTACTGTTTAGTGGGGAAGATGAGTGTGTAAACAACAAGGTGCTCAGGAATAAATTAAGCACTCAGAATCACATCCTGAGAGTGGCAAGCACAGCTGGAGCTGCCAGATTGCACATCTGCATTTCCAAAGAGTCTGTAGTAGGACACCTGCCCACATACAGATAGCACCAGGCAAGTTGGGTAAAGCTGGGGGGGGGGGCACGGAACAGCAGACTCACCTGCTGGGCCACAGCACCTCGGAGGTCCTGCAGCACATCCAACATCCGAAAGATGTCAAAGGCACGCACCACCTGGATCCTCTGGAGAGCTCCTGCCTGAAGGGGTGGGAAAGAGAAGGAGGGGCTTTAGATAAGAGGGAGCAGGGTTGAGCAAGGGTATCTGAAGGCTGAGCAGGAAGCGGTATCTGGATAAAGGACTCAGGTCCAGGATGGCAAGTGGGCTTTGTCTAATGGGGAAGCTCTCACAGTGGTGACTGCCTGGGTGCTGAGCTGCAAAGCTAAGTCAGCTCAGTGGGGAAGAGCGATAGGGCCAACTAGGGGTATCTGCCATGGGCATAAATGGGATAGAAACACCAATGCTGGGTGTTTGCCAGCTCTGAGTTAAGGTAGGCAAGGAGCTGGGAGGATAGTGTGAGAGTGGCATCCAAGCTGGAATGATGTCATAACAGGGAGGCTTGAAGAATACAGAAGTATTAATAGAACAGCAAGCTTCAAAGCCAGAAAGGACAATTCATCCAAATGGCTAAAATTCTTACAATGTAGGGATAGGGGAGTCTTTGTGTCAGAGCCTCAGAGGAATCCAACACCCCTGCCCCTTACCTGCTCTTCCTCATCTGGGGTTCTGGCCTGGAGTAGCTGGAGGATGCGGGAGGCTGTCAGCCCTCCACTGGAATCAATGTATAGGATGTTCTGCTGCAGGCCATGGGCCACATTTGCAGCCACACAAAGACATACCTGAGTAGAAACCAGGCATTGGGTGAACTTGAGCCCTCAAAGACTGCCAAGAATGGGAGCTCCCCACCAAATCTAGTTCAGATCCCGTGACATAAATGGGCCAAGTTCAAGACCCACTTGTCACCATCTTCTCTCTTCCAAGCTCTGAATCACAAACTACTGGCAGAAACTTCCCCGGGGATCCAGGACTGTACACTTACCACCCCCAATCCTCCTGGCTGCTGGCTGCATGTGTTACCTGGGTTTTGCCGCTACCTGGGACTCCTACAATTTCGGTCATTTCTCCCGTATAGAGACCGGCATCAAGCAGTTTGTCTAGGCTGTTGGCAGAAGAGGAAGAAAGAGAATCAATCCAGGGACTAGAAAGGTAGGGAGGGAAGTAGTGGCCAAGAAGAAAAGCAAGGCATTCCTTACTAGCACTGATTCTGTCCAGAGACATTCTCCATGTCTCTGGCCAGGAGGCTTCTCTTGGAAGAGTTTCCTTTGGGGAAAGGGCATGGCTAAATGTTCCTCCATGAGCCCGCCTCATCTTTTCGCTCTCAGCTTAAAAATCATCTCTCCACAGAGGTCTTTGCGGTCTTCCTTCCATTCTCCATCTCAGCCCCTTGTCGGTTTCCTTGATAGCATTTGCCATAGTTTATCATTTTTTAACTTTGAAATAATTATAGATTCACAGGAAGTTGTGAAAAAAAAATGTACAGGGAGGTCCCACATTCCCTTCACCTAGTTTTCCCTAATGGTAGCATCTTGCACTGTAAGATGACTTGTACTATGGTACAATATCACCAATTGACATCGATGTGGTCCATAGAGCTTATTCAGATTTCTCCAGTGTTACGTCCATGTGTGTCTGCGTATACAGTTCTGTGCCATTTTATCACATGTCTACACATATGATCACGTAACCATCACAATCAAGATACAGAACATTTCCATCCCTACAAGGCTCCCTTGTGCTACCCTTTTAATAACCACACTCCTGGTCCTTAACCCTGGCAACTACTAATCTGCCCTCCATCTCTATTATGTTATTTCAAGAATGTCACATACATAGAATCATAAAGTGTGTGACCTTTGTGATCGGCTTTTCTTCATTCAGCATCAATCCCTTGAGATCCATCCAAGTTGTGTATATTGAGAGCTTGCTCTGTGTTGTAGCCAAGTAGTATTCCATGGCATGGATGTACCAAGTGTGTTCAACTGTTCACCCACTGAAGGACATATGAGCTGTTTCTAGTTTTGGACAATTATGAATAAAGCTGCTATGAACATTTGTGTACAGGTTTTCATGTAAGTTTTTATATCTTTGGAATAAATGCCCAAGAATACATTGCTGGGTTGTATGGTAAGCACATATTAATTTTATACAAAACCACTGTTTTCCAGAGTGGCTATGCCATTTTACTTTTCCACTAGCAATGTAAGAGTGACCCAGGTTCTCCACATCCTTCCGTTATCACCATTTTCTATTTTAGTCATTCTGATAGGTGTGTAGTAATATCTCATTGTGGTTTTAATTTGCATTTCCCTAAAGCATAATGATGTTGAACATCCTTTTATGGGATTATTTGCTACCTCTATGTCCTCTTTGGTGAAGTGTCTGTTCATGTCTTTTGCCTATTTTCTAAGTGGATTGTTTGTGTTAGTGTCGAGGTTTAAGAATTCTTTAGGTATTCTAGATGCAACTACTTGGTTGAGTATGTGGCTTTAAAACACTTCCCCCACATTATAGCTTGTCTTTTCATCTTCTTTTGCAGAGTAAAAGTTTTTCATTTTGATGAGTTCTTCATTTTGACTTTTTTATTTAAAATATTATCAATTTTTTTTTATTGCTTATGCTTTCATGTCAAATCTAAGAACTCTTTGCCTAGGCCTAGTTCCCAAAGATTTTTTCCTATTTTGTTCTAAAAGATTGATAGTTTTAAGTTTTACATTTAAGTCCATGATCCATTTTCAATTTTGGCTTATTTACTTATTACCTGTAATGTTCGACAGCTATAACACCATTTGTTCAAAAGGCTATATTCTTCCTTCCCCTGAAGTGCTTTGCATCTTTGTCAAATATCAGTTGGACATGTCTGGGGTCTATTTCTGGGTTCTCTATTCCGCTCCGTTGAGCTGTATGTCTATCTCTCCGCCAATACCACATTTGTCTTGATTATTGCAGCTATACAGTAAGCCTTAACATTTGCTAGAATGATTCCTCCAACTTTATTCTTCTTTTTCAAAATTGTTTTAGCTGTTCTAGGCCATTGGTTCTTCCATAAAATTATTAGAACAAGCCTATTTCTACAAATAACCTTGCTGGGATTTTTGGTAGGAACTGCATTAAATCTATAGATCATTTTGGGGAGAATTGATATCTTTGCTACGTTGAGTCTCCCAATCCACAAATGCAGTATGCCCTTCTATTTATTTGGGTCCTCTTTGATTTCTTTCATCAGCAATTTTTTAAAAATACAACTGATTGATTGATTTTTAGAGAGAGGAAGGGGGGGAGAGACAGAGAGAGAGAAACATCGATTTGTTGTTCCACTTATTTATGCATTCACTGGTTGATTCCTATATGTGCCCTGACCGGGGACTGAACCCGCAACCCTGGCGTATCAGGATGATGCTCTAACCAACTAAGCTACCCGGCCAGGGTGCATCAGCAATTTTTAATTTTCAGCATATGGATCCTATATCTGTTTTATTAGATTTAGACCTGGGTATTTCATTTTCTTGGAAGCAATTTGAAATGGCATTGTGTTTTTAATTTCCATTTCCACATGTTCATTTTGAGTATATAGAAATGCAATTGATTTTTATGTGTTATTCTGATGTCCTGCAACCTTGCTGAATTCACATATTAGTTCTAGGAGTTTGGAATTATTTTCTGTTTGCTTGTTTTTGTCTGTCTTCCCCATTTGGCTCAGAGCACCCTGGGGCTAGAACTAGGCCTTGTTCACTATTACATCCCCAACACTGGCACAGTGCCTAAAACACAGGAGACGCACAATAAATGTTCCTAGAGAAATGAGTGATAGAATGGTGCTATTTAGTCCTATTATTGTCAGCACTCTGGCTGTGGAAGCCTTGGGATAAAACTCAAGACACAGCCAGTTCCTAATCCAGGTTCTGTCCTTGAACTACCATGAAACAGATAATTAACCACCCTCCATGCCCTGTCCAACCTACAGGCTAAAGATTCTCCTACACCAGAGCCTATACCAATGCCTCCATGTCCTGACCACAAGCATCCCTTATCTCACCCTGCAATCACCTTCACAGGTGTCAGTCCTCTGAAATAGTTCCTGAAGACTTCCACGACACCCCTGTATATACCAAGTAGCACACCTTAGTAAGCACCTTATCTATTTCAATTCCAGGGACCCCATGATTATAACCACAGGCCCTTTCCAGTCAAAATATTCTGGTTACCACTGCAGCCCAGTAGCATCTTGGGACAACTGTGTTCACTCTGTCTCTTTTTAATAAGCACCTGTTTAAAAAGGTACCCAACCTCTGCAACCCCTGGATCCCATTCCTCCCTCTGAGATCAGAGAACCCCCCAGTCCCATTACAGCAGTGCTTCTCCCAGTGTGGCCCCCAGATCAACAGTATCACCTGGTAACTGGATAGAGATTCAAACTCTCAGGCCCCACCTGGGGGTGGAGACTGCATCTGAGTTCCAACAAGGCTTCTGGGTGATTTGGATTCATGCTTAATTTGAAAACCATTAGACTAGTAATCAATCCTGCCTGCCTATTAAAATCACCAAAGAGCCCAGGCAGGCAGGGCCCAGCGGTTGAGCATGGACCTAGGGTCCAGGATATCGAGGTTCAATTCCCTGTCAGGGTACATGCCCAGGTTGCGGGCTCGATCCCCAGTTGGGGGCCTGCAGGAGGCAGCCGATCAATGACGATTCTCTCATCATTGATGTTTCTATCTTTCTCTCCCTCTCCCTTCCTCTCTCTGAAATCAATAAAGATATATTAAAAAATAATAATAAATTAAATCACCAAAGGAGTTTTTAAAAGAGGCAGGTATTACCGTAGCCGGTTTGGCTCAGTGGTTAGAGCGTCGGCCCCTGGGCTGAAGCGTCTCTGGTTCAATTCTGATCAAGGGCATGTACCTCCATTGCAGGCTCATCCCTGGCCCCGGTCGGGGCATGTGCAGGAGGCAACCAATTGATATGTCTTTCTCACATCGATCTCTCTCTCTTCCACTCTCTGAAAAGTAATGGAAAAAATATCCATAGGTGAGGATTAAAATAAGTTAATTAATTCATTAAAATAATTATAATAATAAAAGAGGCAGGTATTAGTGGTTCCCAAACTTGCCTGCACCCTGGAGTTACCTGGGAGCTTAAAAAAATACTGATGCCTGGGTTTCAACCCCAGAGAGTATGATTAAATTGTTTGTGGAGAATGGGCTTTGGCATATTTAAAGTAAGAGCTCAATAAATATTCTTGAAAGAATGAATTACAGGAGAAAAGTTGGAAATTTCCAAATTGGCAACTGGTCGAATAGTTATGGGTAAATTGTGGTTTATACGTATCATATAATAGTATATATATGGCCACTGAAATGTTCTGAAGACTTTAAAGACTTTGGGATGTTAAGACACATTGGTTGACTGTCCACAGGCCACTGCGAGGAACCTGGGGAGTCGCTTTTGATTCTCCACACCTGGATCTCACCTGGTATTAAGGCTTGTCCCATCCCCTCTTCAACACGTCTCCCACTGACACCTGCCTTAGATCCAACCCACACCCCCCGCCACCACCATACCTCTCCTTGGCCTCTCTCCTGCCAGCCTCCCTAGTCCCATCCGCCTTGTACACCTCTACCACACTGCCTGTGCCTCTACTTGCACAATATGGCCTCATGCCTCGAGGGAGGCATCAGGGCAGACAAGTTCAAGTTACAGGGCAGACAAGTTCGAGTTAGGTTCTTAGACTTGGGAATGTGACAGTCATGACTTCAAGTGCCTGCTCTGCCACTTACTAGCTGCACGATCTTGAGCAAGCCACTTAACCTGAGTCCCAGTTTCCTCACCTGTAGAATGGTAGTTTTAATCGAAACGCGCTCATTGGTGGTTGTGAAGAACAAATGAAATAACATACCGTGAAGTGCAAGCACGGTGCCTGGCTCTTGGTAAGCACCCAGAGAAAGCCCACCCGCTCCTCAATGCCCAAGGCCTGCCTCCTTCACAGAGCTTTCCTGAACCGCTCCGATCTCCCCTGCAGTGACCCACTGCAGCTGCAGTCCTGCCAGTTTACCTCTTGAGTGCTCCCTAAATGCTTCCTCTGAATATGTTGGTTTTATAAGCGACCTAAGCCCGAAGGCCAAGTCTGCTTCCTGTTAATCACTCCCTGCTTATGCTATGCTACCTCCACACATTCGTACACCTCTCTACTGGGTTCACCTGCTCTTCTCTACCCACCGGACCCCATACTCCTTTGAGTGCAGGAGCCTTGCCTCACTCCTACACCTATCAGCTGCACGTATGTGGCAGCCAGTAGGCACTCAGCCAGCGCTTGATGGATAACAGATTCAGACCCCCAACCAGAAGGAGCGAGCACCATGCTGTGTGAACCTTGCCAAGAGAATGTTTGGAAGCAGCACGGGCCAAACTGGTCCAAACACCTTTGTGGTGGCGGAGCTCTTCACCAAATTCCACACAGAAAAGAGGTCAGACTCCCTCCGTCAGAGTGGCTGTTGTCTTCCAACTCTCTCCCTCTCCAAACATAGCAGACTGTAACTACTCTTTTATGAAAGCTCTCTTGTCCCCTTCTGCTGTGGAGTATGGGGCCTGAACCAAGCTCTGGGTCAAATACACCAGGGCTTGAGCCCCACCTCCACCCCTTGCTCCTCTTGGGCTAAACTCAAATGGGTTAATAATCACTAACTCACAGGGTTCACTGAAGAAATTATATAATCTATAGTCAGTGGCTGGCACATAGTAGGCACCCAATAAATGTTAGTCCTGAATGTTCTCAACTTGTCCTATACTTAAGTGAAATAGAATGTAGGGCCAGAGAAGAATTGCTCTGATCTGCTGAATAGTAATGAAATACTGACATCTTGTGTTATAGGACAGTGGTTATCAATCAGAGGCAACTTTGTTCCTCAGGGGTCATTTTGCAATGTCTGGAGACATCTTTAAAAAAACTGATTTTAGAGAGATGGAGGGAGAGAGAAACATCAATGTGAGAGAGAAACATCCATTGATTGTCTCCCGCACCTACCCAGACCTGAAATCGAACCCGCCACCTTTTGGAGTACAGGACCACACTCCAACCAACTGAGCCACACCGGCCAGGGCTGTGTGGAGACATTTTTGATGGCACAACTTGGGGAGGAGGAAGGTGCTACTGGCATCTAGTGGATCCTGCAACTCACAGGACATCCCCCCAAATAATCATGCATCCAAAATATTAGGAGTGTGAGGTCCAGAAACCCTGTTACAAGGTAGAAGAGCTCAGAAGTCCTGACTCTTGGTCCACGCTGCCCTCACCCCTGCTTGAAAAACCCTGCTCTCTCTTGACTCAAGCATCAAAAGCCGAGCTGGAAGCATCCGTGTCCTCCACTGTCTCACCTTCTTCTCCAAGTACACATACAAACCTTGCAATGCCGGTGGACAGGATGGCAGTGGAGGTCTTCAGTTCCTCGTAGAGATCAGCGCCGTTGAAGGGGAAAGCCGAGAACTGAGCCAGCAGCACCCGCCTCAGGGCAACCAGGGCCTGCGGACAGGGTGGGGGCAGCTCAGGATGGGGCGAGGGGCACTTCAGCCCAAAGCAGACCAGAGCACTCAGCAATGAGCCGTGACCGGGCAAGGGAGGGGGCATCCCAGGGGCCCATATGCCCCCCGCCCCTCCGTGTCAAGCTCGGCGAGCCCTTTGCTCCCTTGGCTCAGGGACAGGCACTGACAGGGACACCCCGATTTGGAAGGGGCGCATCAGCTCACCTTGTAGGACAAGCCACATTTCCGGGCCGCCTCTTCCAGGTCTGCGGAAACCAGGTCCACCACTGAAAACGAAACGCGCCGTGGTTGATGGGCAGGGAGGGCGGGGCCTCCCGTGCCGGGCTTTTCCTCATCTGTAAAATGGGGTGACTGCTGCCTTGGGGCGGGCCACCTTAGGAAGCCTGCGGGGACTAACAGCGCCGCAGGGCCTGGGGCGGTGCCAGGCACACAGTAGGGCTTGGCTCGACCACGCCCTCCCCCCCNGGGAGGGCCGGCTCCGCGGGGTGCCCAGCTGTGTGGCTCGCACACGCGGTCACCTGTCTTGAATCCGTGGCTCCTCAGAAGCTGGACCATGTCCTCGGTGAGGCCTGGGCAAAGGCCGGCCCTGAGCACGCCCATATTCCCTGGCGACTCGGGGCTGCTGGTCCCGTGGGCGCCCGCAGGGCCGTCTCCAGACGCCTCTCCGCGCCCCTTTCTGGAGGCCGAGCGGGACC